CCCCCCCCCCCCCTTGGTCTGTCTTCTCGAGGACGCGTGTCAATGATCTAACCGCTAAGGCTTGCGAGATATGAGTACGCCCCCCCTGCTCGTGTGTGCAAGTCCACGGCAGGGTATGAAGTACGTGGCATTTTTGTCCCTGAAAGGGGCGCGAAAACACACACATGGGCTATCATAGCTAATGATGTCTACCGCAACCCTGATTCAGGCTGCAACTCGGCTCATGATTGTCTACATGGGAAGAATTTCACCCAGCGAGTCGCTTCTACTGCTTGTTTTGCACGAAAGATGGATCCGCCCGTCGAGTCTTTGCGTGCGCGATCGTTCTCGAAACCTACACAAAACTCCGCTGCTCAGTCGCTGACCACTTGAAGCGTTGCGTGTTTTGGCGGGCAAAGGTGTCGACGGTACGGGGGCGGCGGCGGGCGAGGCAGCGAACGACGCCTTCGGCCTGAAGGCGGAGGTCAAAGCCCCCAACATCTCAACCATGATGGAGTCCGCCTTCAAGTCCGGCGGCACGGGGGGGTGGGGAGCGGCGGCGGATTCGGCGGGGTCGGTTCCGCACGAGCAGCTCATGGAGCAGTACGTGAAGGACAAGATGGGCGGCGAGGAGGGGGGAGATGCGAAGGAGGAAGAGGACGGGGCCGGGGGGAGCAACAACATGCTCAGTGAGGAGGATCGGCTGTACACCATCCCCGACGACTTCAAGAAGAAGGTGAGCGGGTTGTTGCTACTGCGGCGGGGACCATGTGGCTCAGAAGGTTTGAATACCCTCGCTGAGCGACGTTCGAGCTCGAAAGGAGAGGGAGGTGGAAATTGTCATTCAAATTGGACGGGGTGGGGTGCTTGAGCGGCAGGTTGGGCTCCCCATGGAACGTGTTTCGTGGGAATGATGTTGAATCTCGAATCTACATGGAACGAGTGTTCTCATGATTTTTGGCGTTCATTTCTCTATGCATTGCGGAATTTTCAGCTGCATATACACACACAGAACTCACAGCATGTAGTTGTTTTCACGCGTGACTTGGAATGAACGCGCCTTGAACGAACGCCTACCCAGGTGGAGGAAGCGAAGGTCGAGTTTGACACGGGAGCGAACAGGGGAAATGAGATGGATGGAGAGGTCGGGAGCGGAGCGCAGATTGCGTGGAACACGGGTCTCGCAGAGATCGCGCTGCCGATCGAGTTCAAGCTCAAGTGAGAGACAGGCACCCGCACTATTTGCGGCGTGATCGGATTGCACGTTAGAAAATGACTTTGGTATTTGATGACGTTCGTTTTTTGTTGTCCCGGACCCCACGAAATCTTCTTGTGGCGTGGTACTAACGAGAGTCGTCGTGTATGTGTCTTTTTTAGTTGTTCAGCAGTTTTCGATCCAGGTGTGTCATCTTTCACGCGTATGTCGCTTAGTGAAATGTCTCAGATCTGTAGTTTCTACGGCCGCGCAAGTAGCCCCCCCCCATCCCCTACCGAGACAGAATGAATAGTCTCGAAAGAAGGCCAGAGCGTGGGGAGATTTGCACATCACAGTTCCGCCCTGGGTACTGCTTCCTCCCGATTTGTTCGCCGGCCTTGTATCCCGCACCTGGCACTATGTAGATGATAAGCCAGCCTGAATTTTCCATCCGTGCCACTGAATATTCCATCCGTGCCACGCCCCTTGAACAGCTTGGCACTTTTGAGGGACCCTCACTAGCGTAGCAGTCGTGCGACTCGCGGTGACCCCCCCCCCCCCCCCCCCCCCCCCCCCCCCCCCCCCCCCCCCCCCCCCCCCCCCCNTGGTAGGAACAACTTCCTGTCGAAAGTGTTGAGTCCAAAGATCAAATGGCGAAGGCGAGCAACAGAAGGTCCCCTCCCCACTACCGCTATATGTGTTTTTGTGTGTGTTTTCGTCCTATTTATTATGGCGAAAGTCCCCCCATTTTTCGTGGTGAGACGTGTACTACAATTTTCAGCGTATGTAGAGCACTACACTTTTCAGTGTATTATTTCGTACAACTACAACCATCCAGGGTCACACAGGAGGTGGTAAACACCAGGGCTTTTTTCTTTTTTTTATTTCTTTTCATGCCCCACCTTCCTCCTGCGGTGCGTGCGAAATGTTTATTGTTATCGCGAGAAGGGTCCAGCCGTCCCTTTCCCTCGTCAACGGTGCTAACGTCGAAGTTTTGGTACTCACGAGAGCTTGTCAGCTATGTTTCGCTTTCACCCGCACATTTCGTAAAATTTGCACCCCATGGGGACTCGAACTCACGACCTCTGCGACTAGCGGATTTCGAGGATACCACTAGACCACCGGGGCAACCGATGTATGCTATATCCAGGAACATGGAAGACACGCTTGCGGCGAGGGATAAGATGGAGTCGGTCCGAGCAGCTCGACGAAACGCTCCCGGAGCTTCGTCCTCGCTTTCGGGTTCGTTGACAGCCAACTACTCGCACCATCAGAAGGAGTGGGCCTTGCAGATCAGGGCGCTGCAGAACAGACAGGTATGTTGCGTTTCGGCTTTCTTGACGGTTAGGCTTTCGCGTGACCCCCCAAAATCGTGTACGTGTGGTCCGATTATTCGTTTTTTTTGTGTGTGTGTTTTGTTGATCCGCACAACCAGGTGACGACGCCAAAAATATATTTTAACTTGATACTAGAGGATAAACTTGCATCGCGAAATACTCGCACCCACAAACGAATTGGCTCTTCCTACTCGACAGACACCTGTCAACAGGCTATATGGAGGGATTCGTAGGTCAGTTTTTGGAACCGACATCAAAACGTCATCAACTCAGTCTAAAACCAAGAGATTTTCGGTACTTTTCACCGGCGCCCACGTACGTGTGTGGCGACACCGAGAATCGCCACCACCAAAACCCCAGCTCCCGTTTCTGCGAAGGCATTACAAGAAACCGTACCACAATCCACCACTCCGACGCCACACAGCCCGTCTTGCAAGATAGGGTACTGCTGATGGGTAACCAGAAGACAAAGAACAAAGCTTCATAGCAGAAACGGAAAGAAAAGTTTTGTAGGCTACAGGAGACGTTTGTCTCGAAAAATGGCAAGGACCTGGCACAGAGGGCGACTCAGAGCCGGCACGACGGCATCGTGCGACGCCAGGACGTTGCCGCGCTAAGCCGCAGCCGCAACCTCGCGAAGATGGCTGAGGGTAAAGTGCGTGCAAGTAAAAACAAGGCGATGGCAGCGAAACGAATTGCGGAAAAAGCAGCGGAGACGGCACGAACCAAAGCCGAGAGGGAGCGGCGGCTGCGTCACGCGGCAATCTTAGCGACGGAAGCCTTGCTCCCGTTCCAGCGCCAGAAGTAGAAGTGGCTACCACACTCGCGACGCAACGTCACTTGGGGGGTCGGATGCGATTCCTTTTCGATATCAACTTGAAAAAACACACACGCACGCACGCGCACACAACGCGGTTGAATTTTTGGGATGGAGAGTCTTTCGCGCATCATACATCAACTTTTGTCCTACGCGCACAGCCTCTACCGCGACCGCTAGAGCAGCTTTTGCCAACGTTCCAGCGCCAAAAGTAGCTGTGGACACCCCACTCGCGACGCAGTGTGACTTGAACCTCGTTAAAGTTGGGGAAGGGTGGGGTTGGATACAAGTCCTTTCTGATGTCAACTTGAAAAATATCGATTTCTTCCAAGATTCCTTGGAAACAAAAAATTCAGGGCTCCGCGTCATCGCCGCTCTCATCCTCCGACGTACAACTCATATTCTCTGACGCCTCAGACTCAGGCTCTTCAGACGACGACAGCACCCCCTCCATCACGCTCTTAACAACCCACTTGCTGCCATGCTTTGATTTCTCACTCTTGTCTTTCAAAAACTTTCTCCAGTCATGCTCTCGTGTTCGTAGTTGCCTCTCGTTCGGAACTGCGTGAGAGGCACTCTTTTTCAACGCCCTCGCAACGGAGGAGGAGGAGGTGCAGCAGCCGTGGGTTGGGCCTGACCCTCACCGGCGTCGTCGGCCATTTCCGTGGCGACGGTCCGCTGGGGGGTGGTCCTCGTCCACTTGGGCGGAGAACCGCACCATACACTTGAAATGCGGCTGCTGTGGTGTGTGCTCTCTACTCGAAACCACACCCGCGCCCCCAATAAACCAACTTCAAATAAACACGCTCGAACACAGAGGGTTGTGGCCTGTTCGCCTGAAAGTTGACTCGATTGTCAAAATATTTGGTGGGTTTTCATTGGTCGGCAAATATCCAGGAAGGAATTAAGGTCTGTTTAAATGTAGGTCCGTGTGACAGAAAATCGGCCCAAAAAGAGGGTCAGGCGCAAGCCTAACGGTGTGTGCGGTCGGTATGGGCATGGTACTGGGATGTGGGGGTCTATCGTTTGTCGGCCACACGAGCAGTTTTTTGGTGTAGGGCTGGTGGTTACAATTAGATTCCGCACGAGGAACTTTTCGGTTGGCTGCGGTCCTGCTGCCTGCTATTTATTACTTTCATCTTGGACCACCCCTTCACGACACTGCTGTGCTCTCATGAGCCAGCCGACTCCGGAGGGGATTACTGGTACATTCAGAGAGCAAGCACGATCCACCCCCCCTTCTGTCACCTCCTACTCATCCCGTCTTGCAGGCCATGGCAGAAGAAAGTCAAACCAAGGCTCCCACCAAGAGCGGTCCAGGCATGGCCGCATCCGCACAACTTTCCGGCAGCAATAGCAACAACAACGCCGCAGGAGGGGGGGCTGGGAGGGGCGGGGGGGNCCCGGGGGGGGTGAAGCTGAAGCACAGCTCGGATAACGCGGTGTTGGAACGTTTCAAGAAGAGAACTCGACGCTTCTGAGTTGTTGGGGGGGTCATGAAGTTTGATTCCAAGGGTGATGTTGTCGTAGGGGGGCACGTTCTGAGCTTTGTTTGCGTGGTATGTGAACTAGCGGCATTGTTGTTTGGTCTTTGGGGGTGGGTTCACTTTTCCAGTGTAGCTGCTGTTGCGACAAATGTCAGTTTTGGAGGGGGGGAATGGCCACACTGTTGTAGTCTAACGTTTAAAGAGTAGAATTGGCGGCGAGGCAGCCTGCTGATTAGCGATGTTACCAAAAGCTAATGCGTTGTATGCTATCACCCTCTGCCAGGCAAATGTGCCGTGGAATCGAAATAAACTTGAAATACCGCATGCCCCGATTTGTGGATGCCTGTGTTGTGGAAGTCAGATTAGTTAGATGTATGCGCAAAATATCTATGTTCATTGTGCATGGACCGCTCCTTCTCGCGAGGTCAGCTCGGATCTTGTCATCTTGTCCGCCCATCTGGTGTTGTGATCGCTGCTTGTGCCTGCTGAGAACTGCTGCTGTATCTGTCTCTCGGGCTAGACACCGTAGTATGTGGTCCTCAAGAGAAGCGAAGAGACGACGACCGATTGATTCCCCGCCGCCGTGCTGGGCTGCTCGGCCACCGCCTTGTGCGAGCACGGACACACCGTGCGCCACAACAGAGACGTCGAGATGCGGATGGCGAATGGCCCGCCTTCGGCCGCTCGGGAACCGTAATGCAGAAAAATGTTAAAACGGGGACGCGTCCTTATCGTCCCCGTGATCCATTGACATCTCGTCCCGCTCCCGCCGACAGATCGTACGAGGCTTTCACTGCCACATCCGTAGTCACAACCCCAGCTACGCTCATCGGATCTTTTGTTGTGGGTATATGGCGTTCGTTTCAGGTGAGCCGGCTTGCTTCCAATTGTGATGGGAAGCCAACTCATTTGGCAACACAGCGGTACAATTTAGGTCTGCTTTGTACCCTCTCGGCTACCTCAAGAGTCGGGACGAAGAGCATAGCAAGAGCCGACCAAACGTCGTGCTGCGGTTCTACGCTACTGTAAGCATGACACAGTGCAAGCATGGCCTAGAATCACTTTCCTCGTGTAGTGGAGGATTGGAGCGAACGAGCAAGCGTATTGCAGCTGGGTGTTCTAGAATGTCTCACCAGCTGACGTGGATGAGTGTTCTGCTGGCATGTTGTCACAAATAACATGACGTGAACCAAACCCAACAGTCCCGCTACTCAGCCTTGCTTCGCCTGCTTCAATTGTATTTGGAGCAGCTCATGTGGAGTGGAGTGGAGTGGAGTGGAGTGGAGTGGTGTGTGGTGCTTCTGCTGTGCACCTGTCGGGTATCTACACCCAGCCCTCCGCCGATTGTTAGCGCTGCAATCTCTTGTGCCCACAACTGCAGTCTCCAAAATGCAAATCACATCACATGGGTGACACAAGATATCACACCCCCTGAGGACTGACTTTCGAGGCCCGAATACTATCAAGCAGAAAGAGAAACGGTGCCGACAATGGCAGCACTATAATCACATATTCGAAAGCTCTTGGAAGACGTGTCTCATTGTTTAATATCTTCTTCGTTGCCGAGTAGTCGAGCTTTGAAGATTGGTCCGGACGGTGTGATTCCTGTTCCACCTGCGGTAAATACATTCGTCTACTCTATGCCGTGACGCTCAGAGTATGGGTGAGCTTGGTTTCGAGAGCAGCGTCGCTGTTAAAGGCGAGCAACGCCATGCCTTGAGTTTGTTTTCGTCCTTGTATTCCATAAGTGGATAGAAGCCTTGACATCGTTTCCGATTTCATGTCGTCTTCTCCGTCTCTCTTGGCCGATAACCTCTCGTGGGTCGTGTGCTTGGATCCCAAACATACTGGTGGCGACTACCACCATCAACCAGCCCGGAGATCAGCAGTCATGGTTCGAATCCGACGCTGCTCCAACAGCAGCAGATCAGCGGGTAGTTCCACGCGTGCAGCTACCAAGACTAAGACCATCCTCGTCTTGGCAGCCGCGGCGTCAGGGCTAGGTGCGGCTTCCGCTTTCGGGCTGGGAGCGTCTTCCTCGCCGCTGATTGGCCGAGCTCTGGCAGCAGCAGCAACGACAAGTAGCAGCGTAGCTGGTGGCGGTGGAGAGGGCGAGAGACGAACAGTGACAACGATGACCGCGAAACCGTCGAACGTGTTTGTAGCTGGGGCTACGGGCCGCCTGGGGAAGCGCGTCGTGAGGTGTGGTGTTTCCCACGATTGAATATCTTTCCGTGTTTCGAGAGAGCGTTTCGGGCTTTTTCTTCACGGTAGTGGTTAAAACAAAAGACAGGATGCGGCCAAGGGCATGCCTGGCGCTGTGCAGAGCATGATTTAAATTCATTCGTGTCGCACGATTTCACCCGCCGGACACAGGGCGAGCTGTGCCTTCTAGGGGGGATCACTACAAGTACCAACACTGCTGGGTAGTGTCGTAGCTTATCGGAGGGAAAGTGATTGCTTTGTTGTCGTTGCCAGCGGGAACCAAGTGTGACTAGCTCACTACGACCCCAAGGTTCTTCTACGACACAGACATCGTCTGACATTCTCGCGTGTTCAAGGCTATCGAACCATGCAAGAGGTGTCTGCAAAGAACCGGCACACCCTTTTCTTTTTTCCCTCCCTTCGTCGGTTTGTACGCATTCAGCAACACCACGAGCGCGCCGTAGGCTAGAATGATTGCTTTTGGCCGCTTTTAGTTGCAGTCACAATTTTTCTTGTGCTTGTACCGCATGGCCGTGCATAAGTAACGTACGCATCTGTCTGTCTGCACCGATACCACTTTCGCGCCAGACGAGGCGTCGTGTGATTGTATTTGACGTCTTGGGTGCGCCTGCTTGTCTGACGGGTCGCGCCTTGGGGCATTGATGGCTGTCTTCGGGTGAGATACCCCTGACAACAGCAGTGTAATGCTCATGGCTAGGCTGTTCTAAGTCTGTCCTGGTGACGGACGTATTGCACAGGGAGCTGCTGCTGGATGGCATGGAGGTGACAGCGGCGGTAAGGCCTGACAGCCTCCCGAAAGCCAACACGCTCTTCGCCGACAAGGCTTTCATGCCGGAAGGTATGCAAACAATCTCCACGTTTTTTTTTGTTTTGGCTCCCTTGATCTAGGGTTGAGTAGAGGTTCAATCCTGGTACTTTCGCACTGGGACATGGTGCGGTAATCCACATTCTTGCGAAGCACCACATGTTGATGTTTCGCAGGTTTCGGTAATGTGTTTGCGTATTTGCTCCTTCGAGAGCTGACGTTGCATCTTATCACACGTTGTTTGTTGCAAACGTCTGCCGAAAATCGCAGCCTAGCGCTTGCCTAATACAAGGGACATACACATACACACACACACATGTGGAGAGCTGTGATGTGTCTCTCACCAAGGAGAGAGGTAGCATTCGCAATAGGAGCGTTTCTCCTTTTTCGAAGCTTGCCCCACTTCCAGGGACATACCATGAATTTTCCCGCTGCCACTGGCCTCTTTTCGTTGGTCAGCTGGTTAGTGCGGTCGATACCAACAACAAAAAACACAAACAGATCGGTCATCCCAGATGATGGCGTTTAGCAGCATCTCCGGTTTTTCAGTTGCACTGAGAGTGACGTATTTTCATTGGTCAGCCGGTTAGCACGGTCGATGCCAACTATAACACACGTACACATCTTAACGACACGGCCACGCCGTCCGATTTCGGCGACTGCAGGGCTGTCGAGCAAGCTTGAGGTGGTCGGGGTGGACCCAGAGAGCGAGTTCGAGCTGAGCAAGGCCATGGAGAAGAGCCAGTCTGTCGTCTGTGCCCTGGGGGCATCGGAGTCGGAACCTTTCAACGTCAAGGGACCTTACCAGGTGTTGACTCGTCGTGGCTCTTGTTGTTGCTGTTGTTGGTTTTGCCGCCGCTGTTGTCACGGATGGTACCGTACGGTGGGGTCACTGGTGCTGCTGTTCTTCTTGCCTTTGTCGTTGCCGTTGTCGGTGTTGGTGTTGAGTGCTGCCATTATGATTATCTTTGTCGTTGCCATTGCAATAGCAGTGTACCGTACATGACACAAGATAACACACCCCCTTGACCGATTCTCGAAGCTCGATTTCTCAACTGCAGGAACAATCACAGCGCCGAAAACGGCGGCGTTAAACCGTCTCGTCGAGAGATTTTCGAAAATGTATCATTTCGTTTGTGCATCCTCTTCGTCGTGGAGTAAGGGAGCTTTGAAAACCGGTCCAGGGGGTGTGTTATCTTGTGTCATATACGGTTGTCGCCGATCTGCCCTCTACCCCCTTCCCTACTTCCATGAGGCTGCCGGAAAATTCGGTGTGTTCTTGTACTTGTAACGTTATCAATCCCACTCCCTCTCGTATAACAGTGTTCTTCTGCCCGCCCTACAACAGGTCTTGTTGATCTTTTCTCGGCTGCCTTCGTTAAACTCATCACTGCTGTCATGCCCGTCCGAAAACTGCACCTCTTTTCCCCGGCGTGATCTCCTCTTCTCCCGTCATCACGACTGAAATAAGCTCCCCCCAACCCGCGTGAATGGAAGGTGGATGGGAAGCTGTCCCAGAAGCTTGTGCTCGCGGCGAAGGAGACTCCCTCTGTGAAGCACTTCATCCTCGTCACGGCTCTCGGAACAGGGAAGGTCGGTCACCTTTGCACAACAAGACAATACTTGCCCCCCTTTTTTTTTTCTTCATTACGGTATGCGTGGAAGGATTCTGATGACGGTATGCTACAACTCATTCCCTCCGACGATGCTCACGACATCTTGCCCGCTTGTTTTTGCCGCTTGCAATACACCATGTTCTTTCTTTTTCTTCGTGCCCACATAAATCGGTGTGGATTATGCCGCACATCAAATCAGTTGTGTGCGGGCAGCTTGTGTTGTTGCCGCTGCTTGATTCGGTGGGATTCCGCCCAGCCAATGCTCCCAAAACTGATTTCGTACACCGATCAGGTTTCGTTTCCTCTGTTCGTTTACGTGACTTCATATGCTTGCACACGTGGTTGGGTTGGAAGCAAGTCTTTTGGATGTTTTTCCTCTCCACCTTTGTTCCGATCTTGTTTCTTTCTGTGTGTTGCCGCACGATTTCCGCGTGCTTGGACCCCAACAGTTCGGATGGCCGGCGTCCGCGCTTAACCTGTTCTGGGGCATCTTGTCGTGGAAGAGGAAGACGGAGAAGGCGCTAATCGACAGCGGGATACCCTACACCATTATCAGGCGAGCGTTCTGTGTACTGTGTACCCTCTACGCTATCCTCAGGCGAACGCTCGAAAAATCTGCATGCAACCTAGCAGTAGCATTCGTCGTGGTGGTTGTGACAGATTTTTTCGAGTGAAAATCCATCATCATACCTTTTCGCGGTTCCGTGCTCCGGCCGACCTTCAAAATACACCTCCCCATTTCCTTTTTCTCTTGTCATGTGTGTCCGCTTGGATATGTTTTCGGCAGACCCGGCGGAATGGAGAAGCCCGGGGACGACTTCGAGCAGACCCACAACGTGAGGGTGGCCTCCAAGGACACCTTGTTCGGAGGGGTCGTGTCCAGGCTGCAGGTAAACTAGTAAACTAGTACTGCAGTTTTCGTTTCAAGTTCTCAAAGTTTGATGTCGGAAAAACGCGCTATGTACTGACGCCAGGCGTCGTGTACCGTAGGTGACACCAGATGCCACACCCGTGTGATAACATTTCTTAGCGTCCAAAAAATTACACGGGTGTGGTACTCTGTAGGGGGCGTGGCATTGTGTGTAACTCGTGTGATAAACTGCTCTCAGAGGATTCCACCCCGCAGAGGGTGTGGTAACAGAGGTGTGAGATAAAAAGGGGGGGTGATAATGTCACCTATGGAATGAACTGCGCCTAGACGACCCTACTCACGGGGGGTATGATAACGATGGGGTGTGAAAATGTCACCCGTGGGAAGAAGTGCGCCCACACGGCCCACCCTACAGCGTGCGCGATAACGAGGGGTGTGATCATCATGGGGTTTGATAACGTTACACCTATTTATCATCATGAAGTGCTCCCGATAATTCTGGGTTGCGGGTAGTGTCGTGTGGGCGTCAGCAGCACGGGCGGTGCCAGGCACTGGTGTTGTTACGGGAGTGTTAGCAGTGGTAGGTTCTGCTGCGCGGACCTCAGCAGCACGGGCGGTGCCAGGCACTGGTGTTGTTACGGGAGTGTTAGCAGTGGTAGGTTCTGCTGCGCGGACCTCAGCAGCACGGGCGGTGCCAGGCACTGGTGTTGTTACGGGAGTGTTAGCAGTGGTAGGTTCTGCTGCGCGGACCTCAGCAGCACGGGCGGTGCCAGGCACAGCAGGTGTTGTTGGGGGAGTTGTCAGCAGTGGTAGGTTCTGCTGCGTGGGCCTCGGCAGCACGGTTGGTGACAGGCATAACGGGTGCTGCGGGAGTCTTAGGCGCCACAGGAAAAAATGACGTAATTGGGCGTGGCGCTGCCGCTGGAGCCTGAGCCGCGATGCTTTGAGCAGTGTTGTGTGCTTCGTTCATCTCCACGGTGTTGTCGGTCGCCATAGCTGGAGCGCAGGGTTGCGGCGTGCGCTACGTGCGTGATCACGGACTACCACACCGGTGTGATAGGAGGCTCCGTGATATATATTTGCGGCTCAACTTAGGGGGTGTGGTATCTTCTGTGATCGTGTGATATATCCATGCTTTTTTCCAGGACGCAAAAAGTTATCACGCGGGTGTGGTTTTCTGTACAATTTCGTTAGGGGTGTGGTATCTTGTGTCGCCGACGGTAGACACCTTCCCCGAGATACCCGCTGAATGCAGCGTGTTTGGAAAGGTAGATGGTTCTCAGTCTTGCATTTCAGCTATTGGTATGCCAATGCTGATTTTGGTTGTTTTCTTGTGCTTGTCGTTTTTTCCTGACCGAATAATTTTGACCCAGCGCCTTAAACAAGTGGGCGTCGTGTGTGGGACAGTTTGAAGATTCGGGGTCATACTCCATGCTGTACTCCATTTCAAGACTCCCACAAACGCCAGTTTTTCACGGGCATCATGCCGAGGACCGCTTTGGCACGTGGCTACCAACCTCAGTTGATTCAGCGGTAGCGCCAAAACGATTCGCTGGATGTTACGCATGGCGGTGAAGGTATGCAAATGCAGGGACAGATGATACACCCAAAACGCTGTTAACGAACTGCTGCGTTGCTTGTGTGCGTGTCTGTGCTTGTTTCCTGCTGTAGGTCGCCAAGCTAGCGGCGGCGGCGGTGGTGGCGCCTGATAGCAGCACCAACAAGGTAGGCCTGAGTTTTTTCTCCTCTCTTTTCGGAAGCATTTTCGGTATCCAGTTGTGAGAGCGGATGAATTGAAGTGAGCATCGGTCACGAAAACCGCTGAAAGGGGCGGGTGGTCATGCTGGAGGTTTAGGGTACGAGGGATGTACAACATGGGTGCCGCGGTTTTCATGGAGTAGGCTGTGTTTACCTTGCAGTATTACAGGGGTCTGGGAAATGGGATTTATGCACGTCGTGGTGTAGAGCCCCAATTGTGCCAGTATGAATACTGGCGTGCTGCGTGGCTGGTTCGAAAACAAAATCGCCTTGTCCTAGCACTGCTTCCCGTTTGACCCATGACACCGATCGACAAGATTTCTTTCGTTCCTGTTCTCTGGCGGAACGACTGGGTTCCCGCTCGAAAAGGTCTGGCGCAGATCGGTTTCTCCAGGAGCGGGACTGTTGTCGCTGTCTTTGTTCGGGGTTGTGTCTATAAGCATGGAGGTACTGGCGTGTGTTTCCATGGTCTTTGCGAGCCTAGCACACAGAGCACGCCGTTGGGGTTTTCGGAGCGAGTTGGATTGACAGTGGAGATCCGGGATCAATTTGGAGCGGATGAAGGCGACCCTGCCATAACCTTCACGTGGCAAACTCTAAGTGTGTCGTGGGAGGCCATCGTTACCACGCGATATTGGACAGTGACAATACGCGGAAGGTCCAATGTTTCGCGCAACGTGCATCCTTCTCCGTGTACAGTATTCTCTCTCATTTACACTCTCGGACGCTTCTGTGTTTTGGTATCATGATCTACATAGCCGTTTCACATTGTTTCTCGCTTCCAGTTCATCATCATCGCCCTACGCCTCATGTCACAATGGTTACGATAATTTCGTGTCTCTTCTGTTCGTCCTTACTTTCGCGGTCGACGAAGTGCGTTTTCAAATTGTGACATTTCCCCGCCCCCGATCGGTATCGTCCTCTCGAGGACGCGTGGTCAATGGTCTAACCGCTAAGGCATGCAAAACATAAGAGTACGCCCCCCCCCCCGATCGGTACTGATATCATTTGCCATGTCTCGG